TGCTATGGCCCATAGACATCTACATCTATTCTCGATTACAAATCAAAATGCAGATGCGTTGTCACCCCTGAGGACTAAGGTGGAATGCCTCGTTTCCAGTAAAAAGAATATTCGGTTCTCTACACTCACCATACGAAACACAGCAGCATCAAGCTACTACGTGGGCGGCACTGAAAATTTCGGGAATCAAGGAAGTGACACAGCATTACTATTTAAAAATATATTTATTGCTTTTCGAAGTATTCTCCGCGAAATTTGACACATTTTTCCATACGATGGAACCAATCATTGAAGCATTCCATTCGGAAGTTGGGGTCTCCAAAATGGCCGTTTTGTAGGCGTCCACAGCTTCTTCAGGTGATGAAAATCTCTGTCCACGCAATTTATTCTTTATTTTAGGGAAATTATAGAAATCATTAGGGCTTAGGTCGGGGCTGTACGGCGGATGGTCTAATAATTCTATGTTTTCTTGCTATAAAAACTCTTTTGATCTGTGTGCGGTGTGAGAACTCGCATTGTCGTGATGGAGGATGATGCGGTGGTTGCAGTTCTCTTTACGGAGTTCAGAAACGACCTGTGGCAAACAAATGCTAGCATACCATTCTGCATTAACCGTTCTTTGTCCCTCAAGAGGAATAGTCGTAACATGGCCGGTTTTGGAGACAAACGTGGCCACCATTTTTTTTGCAACCTCATAGAATGAACAATTTTTGTTGGCTTTAACTCATTTTCGAACACCCAAACTCGTGACTGGTTTTTTTGTTTCGGGTTCGTACGCGTATATCCAGGATTCGTCACCTGATCCGATGTTGTATACAGCATTTGAGGATCCTGCGTGAAATCTTTCGAGAGAACTGACGCACCAAGTAACGCGAGCCGCTTTTTGCTCTTCTCAGATCGCGATCGATCTAGTTAGGATTTATTTTTAGAAAATGTCTTTTTGTCCGTGTTTTTAGGCAATGAAAAACTGCTACAATATCGTTAGAATAAGAAGGTAATTTTGACAGTTTATTAATGTTTACTAATAGCTTAATTGGTATATTGGGCGGTCACAAAATCGTAATTACATGCTTCGAGCCCAGACCGACCGACCGACTTTTTTTTAATTTTTTTTTTCAAGTTCTTTTCTTTTTTTGAGAAAATCTATTTTTTCGAGCCCTTTTTTTTAGTATTTTTTTAAAAACACGAAAATTTAAATTAAACTAATTGCACTCATGATTTTTTATTCAAATAACCAGTTCAGTTTTTTTCTATTATGTCGCTAAGATCAAAAAATATTATTCGTATTTCATCAGTATGTAATTTGTATCTAAATATAATTTCCAAAACACACGAGTTAAAAAAAACCGAGCGAAAAATACCGAGCAAAGCTCGGTCAACCGGGTACTTTATTATAAAACCAGCAAATAGGCATAAATGGTATGTTTCGTACAATCTCGATGCTAGCACCGTACATGCACATACGAACGCACTCACATACTCAAACACGCATACACACATACACAATTTATATTATTTTTTCTGTATGTATACCATCGTTTGTTCATCTCTACACATTGAGCTATTATGTACTACGTACTAGAGGAGACACTGCATTCAGCTACTCTGTTCCACTCAACTGCGGTGCATGCACTGCACTTTAATCAGTCACTCGCTAGGCGCTTGTAGAGTTGTCACGTGTTGTGTTGATTTAAAAAAAAATCTCTTGATAAAAATATGCCGTTTTGTGTACTTAGATATTGCACAAATAATTCAAGAAATGTCAGTAAAAACCAAGGAATTACTTTTCATCGGTTAATAAGATACTTATTCAATAAAAAAGTATTATAAATTAATAATAAAGCAAATTATTCCTAAAGCGGGCTACATACGACACGATATCGGTGGCGATCTAGGGTGGAGTAGTGGGGATGCCTCCTAGATTGCCTCTAAATCGTCTCGTATGTAGGGCCATCCTAAGTCGTGGCCGATATCGCCTCCTTAATCGGCTGGCAGGAGCAAAAATGCTTCCTAGATCAGCCGATGCTTCCTAGATCGGGGCACCGCCCCCTCCTTACTGCGTGTGTGTAGGCGCATCGGCCCGATTTCTTTTGGCAGTCGCTGCCGGCAACCCTCGCGGAAGGAAGTTAACAAAACAGTGATACTGAATGACCTTTTTTATATAACAAAATTTTTACATTTTAATCATATAAACGGAGTAGAAGCCTATGGCACTGATATTTTACAAAAAACCAAAAAAAAGTGAATAAAATAAATAAATTAATTGAAATTTTATCGAAATTCAAATCATATCCACCCTAGCTTGTGACCCTGCGAAGTGACATGGTCAAGAATGCCTACTAAACTAATTTTTTTATTGCCGTTCGTAAAGTAGAGTGTATGATGTAAGTAAGGAGAAGATAAAGCCTCTCGTCAACAACTAACTCCTATTCCAACGCTATCAACACAAGACCGCACTCATATCTTACAATTCCACAAGACCACACTTCGATCTCTTACGTGCCTTCATCCTCTTATCAACAACTAACTTCTACTCCTTCACCATCTCCACATCAACAAACAAGTTATATAAAAGGGAGTATGTCCGAAATTAAAGGTTTCTTTATGTTTAAAAAAAGATATAAGCTATTTTATTTTCTGATAGTTTTACTCCATAAATAAAGATTACATTAAAAAAAAAGTATACATATTATTATACAAAAGTATTTTATTTCCTTGTTTGTTGTGTGTAATACATAACCAGATTTTGACCAAAGCAGAAATGAACAAAGAGAAGAAATAACTAAATAGCATAGGTAGGAGAAATTGACGTTTTTATATAAGTGGCGAAATCATTTCTAGAGGGTTATAAAACTGTCTTCATCCATCCAGAGAAAATTAATCACGTCCTTGGATTACAGGCCATTTAGTACGTTTATGTGGCTTAATTTTTATCTCTTTTGGAGCCATTTTTTCACCCAGCAACTTCTCTTTTTCTATTTTCGAATAAATTAACCGAGAGGGCTAATGCCAAACCAACACGTTGGTGTTTTAAAAGAATTGAAACTATTTTGAAGAAATCTACCGCATATGCGTTCCGCTCCAAGTCCGAACGCGTACTGCTAGGCAGGCCCGTGTGTAGGGTCTGCCCCGATATAAGCCCCGATGTCTTTCCACCCTAGATCGCCACCGATATCGTGTCGTATGTAGCCCGCTTTAGACGCCATCTCGTATCATTGAATATAGATTATGAAATTAATATGTTCAGATGCGACATTTCTGTGGGTACTTAAGTTTAGGACGAATATATTATTATACTACACATTTTTTTTGTAGAAACATATAAGTTATTATAATTAAGCTAAATTTTTCATGTATAAATCTGCTTATTATTCTTTTATTTTATTTTTAGGTTTCCACTTCAAAGTCAAAGTGGAATAAATTCGTCCATTTTTAACTCTCGCGTGCCCAGCATTTATGAACGATTATTTACAACATTTATGATTCTAATTTAAATAAATATATTTGTAATTTAAATTTTATGTTAATAAGTTTTGTTAAACATACATTTAGTACGTTTTTTTATATTTGACATAGATACCTTTTAAAATATTCAGATAACAATATCATCAAAATGTAATTCTGACATAATATTATGTAATATTATATTAAATTAGCACATATACAAAATAAAAAACAATTTAAAAAATTGTAAGTACTCGATATAATTAACAATACAATATAAATAAACAATTATTACATACTGACCATTCTACTTACGTATAATCTATAATAACAAAAACTGACCGCGCAAGCGCAAAGCGCGTTTATACCAACTGCGCATGCGCGACTCTACTATTACCGCGCATGCGCGAAGACATAGAAGTAGCGCACAATTTTTGTTTGGAATAGCTTCTCTAGTACGTAGTACATTATAACTCAATGTCTCTACACTATCAATTTTGCACTGACACGTGAAATTTTGACAGTTTTTTTTTCATTTTATTTTATACGTTCTTTAGTATTTTTCTTTTGTTTTTATTTGTCATCTGCCTCACACTCCTGACTCCATTGAAAATCAGCGTTACTAATTCATGTATTTATATCTTCAATTCGTTACTTAAAGCTGAGTGGAGACCATTTTGGTGCATATTAAGTTATTCCTTTTTTAAATATTTTTGATTAGTTATAAAAAATGTTTTACTTAATTTATTCTTTTTTTTTGTAATGTATGTACCAAATAAACTTTTTCTTTCTTTCTTTCTTTCTATTATAATCCATCAAAGTCTAACGCTGAACATTGGCCTCCTCATAGTAGATATTTGCCAAAGTGGTCACGCCTGGTAGGTTTACATTTAAGTTAGCCATAACCTATATCAAGATTACAGCGCTTTGCTTTAAAAAATTCCAGATAACACATGGCACATATTTCTTGTTGAATAAAACTTTTATTATTATGGATAGGTATACAGGGTTATTTTGCAATAGCCAAATCAGCAGAAAAGGTTTAGAATAAGTAATATAGGCAAATGGTTAAGAAAACATAATTTAAAAAATTTCAAATATTCTGTTCTTAATATCTTTTAAATTGAAAATGCGTGGTAATGCATTATTTTAACTGGTTTTAATGCGCAAGCACACATTCGCAAGGGTCGATCGGTGGACAAAAACGTTGTTGCCCATAAATCACATTCAATTTGGGATAATTTCAAATAAAAGTAGAAGCCTTATTTAGTTGTATTTTTAAAAACTGCAATAACGGTATATCATTATTTGTATATTTGAACCTAAGTTTACAATACTCTTTGAAAAATAACACTGTATATGATATGGTATTTACCCCTTGCTCGGCGGTAAAAGAAAACATGATGAGGAAACATGCATGTCTGAAGGGGTAGCGCGGTGGATACTTCATTGCCCTATTTGGCTCTCAGAAATAAGAGACGGCCAGTGCCCAGGTATGGGACGTATATAGGCTGTAACTTTTTTAACTATGAACCTTTTTATTTTTCAGAGTAAGAATGAGCGCGATAGTGAACGCGGCTGCTGACGTGATCACGGGCTCAGCTATCGCCGCCGCCGCAGGTACGCAGGTAACTACATGAAAAACATATATTTTACGTGGTATAGCCACAGTGCAGCTATATTAGTAGTATATTTGTAGCACGAATGGCGGCTCGACTGGGTAAGGATCACGCTCTTACAGAATACCAGCGTTAAATAGCATCTTAGTATTTCGTATGGTAAGTGTAGAGAACCGGAGACCCTTTTTACTGAAACGGAGGCATTTATTCTTAGGCCTCATGGGTGATAACGCATTTGCATTTTGATTCGTAATCGAGGGTAGATGTAGATGTCTATGGGCCACAACAACCACTTACCATGAGGTGGACTGCGTGCTCGTTTGTCACCCTTCTCCTATAAAAAAATCATAAATTAGTACATAGGTGGGTTTCGATTGCTGCCTAGCCATGTGGTGCTGGAACTTAATACGCCATTTACAACCGTGGTTGTTAAAAGAGACAATTAAAAGAGAAAAAAAATTATTGCATAATCAACCATCACTACAACCGCTACAAATAGCATAGATAGATTAAATTATAACTGAAATAAAAATTAAAATATAACAAGCACAGCCGGAATATAATTTTTGAGCAAAGTTATAATCGCATGTAGTATATAGCATGTAGTATAACACAGCAAAGGGATAAGCTACGGGACCTGCAAAATTGATATTAAGCGCACCCAATGACGTATTATATATAGACACGTCATGAACGAACATCGCGGCGCTTAAAAACAGCGAAAATACTAGAACTACTTATACGCATGAAGAAAGAGAAAAAAATATGACACCGTACGGCGGGATGCCTGTTGCTTGACTACTAGCTGCATGCGCCGGCCGCCATTAGACAACGTCGTCGAATAAAATGAAATGAAAATAGGTAGTCTTGTGAATTTACGCACGAAATGACACAATTTTGTCTTTAACTTTTGGGGTGTAATTTGTACATCGTCTGAAAACACACGACGGCATGTTTTCTTTATGTTTTGCACAGGTTTACACAAAAGAATCACGATATAATGAATTAAAAACAAACGTAGCGTCGCGCGACAGGTTGGTGCGTGACTAAGTGCGATGTGGCCTATTGGCTTCATTTCATGTTGCCATTTTAGAGTGCGGACAACGTATCTATAAGTTTATACATCATTAAGCGCACCCCATAGATTCTAAGCGGATAGTGCATAAATATATAATATTAGAAACGAATATTTGAATGAAAACTTGCATAGTATTGTCCTACAGACCGAATTGCGATCACGGCAGCCAATTTCAATGTAAACTACCCACTTGTGCAGGACATGATTATAGTGTAAGAATGTGTGTGCAAACAAACAAGTGTACACTCTATTCTCTCACTCAAAGTCCAATAAGACGGCAATTCAACACGACCGGGAGAGAGATCAGGCGTGGACCAACGGCTTTACGTGTTTTCTAAGGCACGGAATGAAATATCTTTCTGACTCCTGGCCGCTACAAAGATTTTCTTGAATTTTGACCCGACACGGGACTCCAAACCGGTCATCATAAATCAGCATTCACACTTACGACCATTAGATGAACGAGACAGACAAATATTGCATATTAATTTTAACAAATGATATAACAATAAAATCATAGTTAAGACATTAAATAATCAAATAAGTATGGATCCGATTATGGAAAATCAGAGGTGATGTGTGCTCGTTTATCAGAGCCTGCATAGAACATTCAGTTCAATCATTTACTACTTGTCCATATCAGTAAATCGTAATGATTTCTTATATTTACGCGAACACTATACATTGATTAAAACTACATTTACATATTTTAATTTATTTGATTTTTAATTCCCGACGTTTCGAGTGCTTCGTCCGATGACCATAAATAATAAATAAAAAGCTAAAGGTACTGCGGGTCAACACCGACATCGGGACGTCAGTCACCTCAGTCACCCGTGACCATGGGTTTTGTAAAGTAGTTTTAATCAGTAAATAGTAATTAGCGAACTATGGTAACCCAGGAGATAAGCCCTCGCCAGTACCTAGCACGCAAGCGAACTTCGATGAATAGTAAAATATACTTTTAAATGTTAATTTTCGCGTGCTTGGTGCAAGACTGCCTGCACGCACTCTTCTAGAAACTTACTACTCTACTATTAACTAGAAACTTCTAGAAGTGTGAAAGCCTGTGCTCAGCTTCACTAAGACTATGACTTGTAAAGGCTGTAAACTTCAGAAATTATGATATGGCCCACGATCAACGTGGAAGCAGCCTGATTGTGAGCAGGAGCAGTAAAGTCTTTGAATCTCGACGTGGATTATCATATCACATTTGACAAATCCGCGGCGCAGTGGCTTAGCAATGATTTGCGGCGCTGAGGGCCGCGGAATCGAACCCGTATTTGTATGGGAATAAGTATTTGTATTGCCTGCAAATAATTTTACCGCTTCTGGACACTAAATTTAAGTACGTAAACCGTCTCCGCGGAACATGAGCAAGATCCTAGTGTAGGGATAACCGTTTTAATAAAACCAAAAATATTAAAAAGTAACATTTCCCGTTACAATTTCAGGTTGCTTGGTTCATACCGATGTTAGTAGCAGCTATAGCATACTATCAATATGATCAAACGGACCCCGAGGGACGACCGGCGAATGTGGCCAGCACGCACTTGCTACCGGAATATGACTTCATCATTGTAGGCGCCGGTTCTGCCGGTCAGTAAGTATTCTAATGTAAACTATTTTTTTTTCTATAAAACTAAAGTTATTGCAAATGAACATACGGTCCAGCTGATGGTAAGTAGCTACTTCAGCCCAATGGACACCTGCAAACAACTTTAAATAAAGAAGGCTGTAGATTCGTTGTCACCTCTGATAACCAAATTCGAAGGCCTCACAGTCTGTAACTATGGCTTCAAGCTGACTTAAAAAAAAATGAATTGGGGTGACAAACAAGCACACAGTCCACCTGATGGTAAGTGAATGCTGTGGCCCGTAGACATCCACATTAATCGTCAACTAAGGATCAAAATGCAAATGCGTTGTCAACCCTCCACCACCCCACGCATATAATTATACTTTAAAAAACCCCCGCTGCAGCTATATTATAGTTGTAGCACGAATTGGTCGGTCCGACCGGGGCAGGTCCACGCTCTCACAGAATACCAGCGTAAAATAGTAGCGTAATGCTGCTGTTTCATATGGTGAGTGTAGAGAACCGGAGACCCTTTTTACTGGAACTTAGGCATTTCATCTTAGTCCTCAAGGGTGACAACGTATTTGCATTTTGATCCTAAGTTGGGGATAAATGTGGATATCTATGGGCCACAGCATCCACTTTCCATTAGGTGGACTGTGTGCTCGTTTATCAACCAATGCTATAGAAAAACTAAACTAACTTTACTCGCGCACTTTTATTTTATAGATCAACCACATCGCCAGATTTGGTGATTATGTTTGGTCCATAAATTGTTACAATTAAAACGTGTTATAACTAACAAATCCTACATTTATACTCGTAGTAATACAGCGCTACCTCCTGGCGTAGCTACGCACCATCTGGATTAGACAAAACAAATATACCTACTATGTGAATTTGAACCTCGATCGGTCAAGTCGTTCAGAAATTATATGATTTCTGATAGATTGCATGAGCACAAGCGGTTAATATAAAGAATAAAAATAATTTTGATAAGTAGTTAGTTTTTTTTATATATTAAGGGTGACAAACGAGTTCACCTGATGGTAAGTGGATGTTGAGACCCATATATATCTACATCTATCCTTGATTAAGAATTAAAATGCAAATGCGTTGTCACCCACGAGGACTAAGATGAAATGCTTTGTTACCAGTATAAAAATGCGGTCAATGTGTATAAGACTCCCGTAAATAATATAGGAAGTGAGTGGTGATACAGACTTAGATGGTAAATCGCATTGCTTACTTAGCGTAATAAAAACCTTTTGCTTTTAAGAGGCCGAGAATTTATATAAAAAATTTATAAAATCAATTAAAAATATATAACATTAATTAATGTAATATATAAAAAATAATGTTAGTTTGTTCGTATTCTATGCGCTGACATACCCTTCATCAGATTGCGGTAGATCTTTGTAAACTTATTGCTTGAACTTGCGCGAAGGTAATGGGTATAGTACAATTATTATTTATTCAATTTTATTATTATTCAATACATAGTAGAGCCATACTGTAGCTATATTAATTGTATAGTTGTTGCACTAATGGGTCAGCTCGACCGAGGAAGGACCACGCTCCCACAGGATACCAGCGTAAAATAGCAGCTTAATTTTTCTGTGTTTCGTATGGTCAGTATAGAGAACCGAAGACTATTTATTTCTACAGAGGCATTCCATCTTAGTCCTTAACGGCTGACAACGAATCTACATTTTGATTTGCAAACGTGGATAGATGTAGATACCTATGGGCCACAGCATCCACTTACCATCAGGTGGACTGTGTGCTCGCTTGTCATCCTTATTCTATAAAAAAAATATCTAGGAGAAGGTGATCCGCGTATTCTACCGACAAATTTATTTGAAAGCTATATACCATTCAACTTCAATGAATGTATTATCATTCTTAAAATACTATATCTCTTCCAAATGACATATTAATTCTTTACGCCCTATATAAGCTACAAATTATATAAAATATTCACATTGTTTATTTCTAGGCGCCGTAGTAGCAAACAGGCTTTCGGAAATCGGTCACTGGAAAGTACTCCTCTTGGAGGCTGGTGGAGATGAGACAGAGATATCGGACGTCCCTCTTCTTGCGGGATACTTGCAGCTTAGCAAACTGGACTGGAAGTACAAGACCGAGCCCCAAGGCACGAGCTGTTTAGGTATGAACTTCCAAGTACATAAAATGATGACTTGCTTCATTTAAGGCACCTTTCTGCCAATAAACTGTTATGGATTAAAATTAGACTGACTTAGCGTATCATCCTGTTAAAAGTTTTTTTTGTTATACAAGTAAGGGATGTACGGAGCACACAGTCAAACTGATGTTAAGTAGATGATATACTTCATACTACAATACTAAGAAAGAAGTAGTATTGTAAAAACAACTATAATACAATAAACTAAACCAAATGGGGGGGGGGTGTATATATATACAACAACAGGCTGATAAAGGCAAAGAAAACCAACCATTTTAATATTTAATACGTGGTAGAGCTAAGCTACAGCTATATTACGGTTGTAGCATGAATGTGTCGGCCCAACCGGGATAGGACCACGCATTCACAGAATACTAGCGTGAAATAGCAGCTCAATGCTGCTGTATTTCGTATGGTGAGTGTAGAGAACCGGAGACCCTTTTTACTGAAAACGAGGCATTCTAATTCTTAATCAAGAAGATACAATAATTCTTAATCAATCAATAAATGTAGACATTTATGGGCAATAGCATCCACTTACCATCAGGTGGACTGTATGCTCGTTTGTCACCCTTATTCTATAAAAAAAATACGTGTGGCACTCGGTGACTGCCGCGGTAAAGCTATTGCATAGCATTTTTTATCAACTTATGCAATTATAATTATTTATTTATTTTATTTATGCAGTTAAGTCTTTGATATTAAATCAAGTTACACTTTTTGAGCGTGGTGACCGATAAGAAAACAATTTTTTTTCTCTTATTGAATAAATGAGAAGTTAATATTGTTTAAAATATTTTTAATATCTTACAATACATGTAGGTTATTCAGGAATTTTTATCATTGAGTTAGCAGCTAGTGTACACGCATACGTCTAGTCGCACGCACACAAACACCGTGCCGAAGTCTGCCGAGTGCCGAAGTCTGCCGAACTGAAACGACGTTAGACAATGCACGGCCTTCAAGCCACACCTCCGTGCCCGTCGGAGTGGGGAGCGTGAGGTTTTTTTCGTTACGGAATTTCTGGATTCCGTCCCCGCGCTCAAGGCCCGCGATAGAAGCTATGCAATAGCTTAAAACAATACAATGCTCGCAATACGTAAAAGAGAGAGATTAGATAATGTTTTTGGCATAAATCCTTCTAGTTACACTTTCTTAGTGTTATAAAAGTATTTAGTACGTATAAATTAAAAATAATAATATTATTCTATTTAATATTAGAATTTATTAAAAATGTTTATAAATTTTATTTCATTTAATAGATTTTGAGTAGAGAACGCTATGTAAGAGAATCCAAGTACTAATTGTACTGCGGGTGTCGTAGGAGGCGACAGAGGCGCAGACTGAAACAGGAGATGGCGCAGCATCTTCTTGATAACAACTCAATATAATAACAAAACTGCGGTTGACAACCCGCCCGCCAAACGTGCCAAATATCTTCCCTGTAAGGCAATCGTGGTGGAGGCTTGTGTTCAGCAATGAAATTCTATATGCTGTAATCATGCTGATGTACAGATCGTTTACTTACAAGTCGTGAATTCGAAACCACTATTCGAAAACAATGCAAATCATTAAAAAATACAAAAAGCTTTAGTTATTTTCTAGTATTTAGATATTAACAATATATCTTAATATATATAAATTACGTGTCACGTTGTTTGTCCGCAACGGACTCCTAAACTACTTAACCGATTTTATCAAATTTGCACACCGTGTGCAGTTTGGCCAAACTTGAGAGATAGGATAGTTTTTTTTACTCATGAGTGACCCACATTTTTTTTGCAAATTTAAGGATTTTTAATAGGACACGACAAAGGGCTGTCGAAAAGGGTAGAACAACGTATGCCTGACAAGCTATTCTTAATATATATATATTACGTGTCACGTTGTTTGTCCGCGATGGACTACTAAACTACTTAACCGATTTTAATCAAATTTGCACACCGTGTGCAGTTTGGCCTAACTTGAGAGATAGGATAGTTTTTTTTACCCATGAGTGACCCACATTTTTTTTTTGCAAATTTAAGGATTTTTAATAGAAAATGACAAAGGGCCGTCGAAAAGGGTAGAACAACGTATGCCTGACAAGCTAGTCTTATATATAAATTACGTGTCACGTTGTTTGTCCGCGATGGACTACTAAACTACTAAACCGATTTTAATCAAATTTGCACACCGTGTGCAATTTGGTCCAACTTGAGAGATAGGATAGTTTTTTTGCCCATGAGCGACCGACAATATTTTTTGCTAATTTAAGGATTTTTAATAGGACATGGCAAAGGGTCGTCGAAAAGGGCACAACAACGTCTGCCTGGCAAGCTAGTTAAATATATATTGTGAAAAATATATAATAAATATATAACGCTGCAAACGATTACTTAAATGCATTATAGTCATTGAGTTATAATGTAATACGTACTAGAGAAGCTATTCCAAACAAAAATTGTGCGCTACTTCTATGTCTTCGCGCATGCGCGGTAATAGTAGAGTCGCGCATGCGCAGTTGGTATAAACGCGCTTTGCGCTTGCGCGGTCAGTTTTTGTTATTATAGATTATACGTAAGTAGAATGGTCAGTATGTAATAATTGTTTATTTATATTGTATTGTTAATTATATCGAGTACTTACAATTTTTTAAATTGTTTTTTATTTTGTATATGTGCTAATTTAATATAATATTACATAATATTATGTCAGAATTACATTTTGATGATATTGTTATCTGAATATTTTAAAAGGTATCTATGTCAAATATAAAAAAACGTGCTAAATGTATGTTTAACAAAACTTATTAACATAAAATTTAAATTACAAATATATTTATTTAAATTAGAATCATAAATGTTGTAAATAATCGTTCATAAATGCTGGGCACGCGAGAGTTAAAAATGGACGAATTTATTCCACTTTGACTTTGAAGTGGAAACCTAAAAATAAAATAAAAGAATAATAAGCAGATTTAAACATGAAAAATTTAGCTTAATTATAATAACTTATATGTTTCTACAAAAAAAATGTGTAGTATAATAATATATTCGTCCTAAACTTAAGTACCCACAGAAATGTCGCATCTGAACATATTAATTTCATAATCTATATTCAATGATACGAGATGGCGTCTTAGGAATAATTTGCTTTATTATTAATTTATAATACTTTTTTATTGAATAAGTATCTTATTAACCGATGAAAAATAATTCCTTGGTTTTTACTGAAATTTCTTGAATTATTTGTACAATATCGAAGTAGACGGCATATTTTTATCAAGAGATTTTTTTTAAATCAACACAACACGTGACAACTCTACAAGCGCCTAGCGAGTGACTGATTAAAGTGCAGTGCATGCACCGCAGTTGAGTGGAACAGAGTAGCTGAATGCAGTGTCTCCTCTAGTACGTAGTACATAATAGCTCAATGATTATAGTGGATAATTTTTTATTTAATTTTAAATGTTATTGCAATAAATCTTGAAGGCTCGGTGGCCGAGAGTTTTGTCACCGGCGCTGCGGGCCGCAGTTTGAATTTCGCACTAGACAAAAATTTATATATTTTACACATTTTTCTTCGATGTCTGGGTTTGTTTATGTACAATTTATGTATATGTAAAATGTTTCTACGATACAGGGGAGATAGGTAAGATATAAAAGTGTTTTGCATGTAGTAAAGTCACGCTGCAACTACGTGAAAGCTGCAGCATGGGGCTGCTCGACCGGGGAAGGGTCATACTCGCATAGAATAGAATAGAAGCTGATGTGTTTCGTGCGGTATATAACGAGAACCGGAGACCTTTCTTACTGGCAACGATGCATTCCTTTCTCAGTTCACAGGACCTATGGGCTACAGTGTTTACTTACCATCAAGTACACTGTGTGCTCGTTAGTACTTCTATATAATAAAAATATTATTTTCCTTTTTTAGCTATGGAGGGCGGACGGTGTAACTGGCCACGTGGGAAGGTACTCGGAGGCAGTTCGGTGCTGAACTACATGCTATATTTACGAGGCAACAGGAAAGACTATGATATTTGGGAGTCATTGGGGAATAAAGGCTGGGGATATAAAGATGTGCTGTATTATTTCAAGAAATCTGAAGACAACCAGAATCCGTATCTGGCACAGACACCTTACCACAGCACTGGCGGATATTTAACAATCTCTGAAGCTCCATATCACACTCCCCTTGTATCAAGTTTCATTGAGGGAGGATTAGAAATGGGGTATATAAATAGGGACATCAATGGTGAAAATCAGACAGGCTTTATGGTGGCACAGGGAACCATTCGACGCGGCAGCCGATGCTCTACAGCAAAAGCCTTCTTAAGACCGGCAAAAGATCGTCGAAATCTACACATAGCAATGCACTCGTTCGCCACAAAAGTTTTAATAGATCCAAGAAGTAAAATCGCTTTTGGCGTTGAATTCGTTCGTAACAAAATGATTCATCGCATTAGAGCTCGTAAAGAAGTGATCCTATCGGGCGGAACAATAAACTCCGCTCAACTGCTGATGCTATCGGGTATAGGACCTGCGGAAGAACTAACGAAACATCGTATCCCCGTGATACAAAATCTCCAAGTTGGAAAAAACCTTCAAGATCATATCGGACTGGGAGGTTTGGCATTTATGGTTAATAAAAAGATCGCCATAGTGGAACACCGACTGCATACTGTTAGCACATTGATGGAGTATGCAGTACTGGGTGAAGGACCGTTAACCATCATGGGAGGGGTGGAGGGTGTAGCTTTTGTTAACACAAAGTATGTGAATGCAACTGACGACTACCCGGATATTGAGTTTCATTTCATTTCTGGCTCAACCAATTCTGATGGCGGCGAACAATTACGAAAGGTTCATGGATTGACCGACGCATTCTACAACGCTGTCTTCCGTCCTATAAACAATATGGACGTATGGAGTATAATCCCTATGTTACTGCGACCAAAAAGCAAGGGATTTATCCAACTTCGAAGTGCGAATCCGTACGATTACCCATATATTTATCCAAACTATTTAATGGACGAGAGGGACGTTAAGACGCTAGTAGAAGGCGTTAAAATTGCAGTCGCTTTATCCAGAACTAAAGCTTTCCAACGTCACGGATCAATCTTGAACCAGCACATGTTCCCCGCTTGCTCTAAATTACAATTATATAGTGACGCGTATTGGGAGTGCATGATCAGGCAGTACACCTGCACGATTTACCATCCGGTCGGCACTGCTAAGATGGGACCGTATTGGGATCCTGAGGCCGTCGTCGATCCCGAATTAAGAGTTTACGGCGTGAAAGGCTTACGTGTTATAGATGGCAGCATAATGCCCAATTTAGTAAGTGGTAACACAAACGCTCCCATTATTATGATCGGCGAAAAGGGCAGCGATATGATTAAAGAATTTTGGCTACGTCGAAGGATGTCTAAATATTACGCGTGATAAACGTACAAAACTATCCAATATTCAGCAGTATTACATGTTGTAAATAATTAATTTAAACGTATTTATTTTTAAATGAGTAAATTAATTTATTTCTGTTATTGACCTAATAAAATATTTATTCAAAGTTCGTAAGTCCGTTTTATTTTACAAAGGTTCATTCATTGCACGGGTCAGAGTGTCACGTGTCACAATTGCATTGAAAAGAGATCCGAACGGAACTCTGTGCGATTGCTGACAACAATACATAGTAATGCAGAGCAGTGAAAGCAGAGAACCCATAAATATTTTATCGGCAATAGAAATTTATTTTTGTACCTTTTTTTAATTATTTTGTAAGTACAAATATGTAAAGCACTCTTTCACAGAGAGCACTGAAACTCCTCTCGATAGGCGTGGTGATTTCGTGCTCTCTTGCATTTCACAGCCAGCGTCGTTTAGTGGTGTTGTGTGTATGAGCGGATGTGCGGTGTGTGTGTGTGTGTGTGTGTGTGTGTGTGTGTGTGTGTGTGTGTGTGTGTCTGTGTTTGTGTGTGTGTGTGTATGTGGGTGTGTGTGTGTGTGTGTGTGTGTGTGTGTGTGTGTGTGTGTGTGTTATGTGGGTGTGAGTGTGTGTGTGTGTGTAGAGAGAGAGAGAGAGAGAGAGAGAGAGTGAATTTGTCTGTGGACATTGCGCTAGTCTATTAAATTTTGGTGCACAGGGTGCAGGCGAGGTTTGCATCAGATGAAAAGTTTGGCATTTCTGTTTACTTATATACTAGCGGTCTTATTTAAATATTACATGAGACAGTTAGGTGAACTTACTTTAAGATAATTATCTTAAAATTTTACGTAATAAAAGCTATATTTGTAAAAGTAAAAAAATACCATTTTTAAAATTTAAAATCCTGATATCAAATATTTTCAATTAAGGAATAACAGTTCGATATAAGAACGGTAATAAATTATTAATATTAGATTTAAGTGGCCGTCGTCGTGTAGTGGTGTTGTAAGAATACCCAATGTCCCATAGGGGATGACCATGCGTGGCTTGAGCGACGACAGAAGGAATCAAACCAAAAGACGGGTAGCAGTGTCTTCCTAATAACAACCAGAAAAAAAAACTACGGCTGTTAAACCGCCTACCAAGCGTGGTAAGCTGCAGTTGCCAAGCGTGGCAACTGTGGCATAGATACCCGTCACGAGTCAATCTATGGTGAAGCCTATGCTCAGTAAGATGACTTTGATATACTGTAATGGAATTGATATTTAATATTTAGTTAGGGAATGGTTTCTTACATCTTATTGAGGACTGCCCGTTAAGGCGATACCCTGACCAAAACCTTGCAAAAATGCGTTTTTCAGAGACTATTATCTCATTAGTTATGAGAAATAAGCTACATATAAAAGCACATTATTAATGTTCGATATCCTTAAATCACATTCCACGTTTTAATTTGTTTTTATGTGTATTACATTTAAAATCTAATTTTAAAAAATGACTAAAATTATTGATTACATGCATCTGTTGCTAAAGGCAACGCTCTAATCATTTGAGGAATTACACAAATGAATAGATAATTTAAAAATCTATATTCTACACGTTTTATTTAATTTCTTAAGTTCGTTTATTTTTTTAATTGAAATAATTCCAAATATACGGGCGTATTTTTACGCGATATATTATAGCGAGAGCGCGTGGATTGTATAGGACCGAACGCTCAAGGTCTTTCGCTAGGGGAAACTTAATACTACTACTTAATACTTATAAAATTTACTGTCGTTTATTGGAGGAGTGATACGTTATTGGTGAACATCGCCCGATTTAATAGTTAACTATTAGCGCAAAACTTTCGTCTTCGACCGCCGCACGATCTTGTTTGGTGTAATACAAGATGGTCGTGAGTGCAAATGAAGTGAAATTCAAAACTCTTTACGCCAAGAGGGACGTGCTGTTTTTTGTAATCGAAAGTAGTTATTAATTTCAATGCTGCGTAGCCTTAAGTTGGATAAGAAACGAACCACGCGATTCATAAATAATAATTAAAATACCATAGGAATTATATACCTAAATTAATTGCTTATTTTAATCTTAGATAACCACTGCAATTTAAGACTCAAAGACAAGAGTAATAGGCATTTTAGGCTAAGATATTTACCATCTAGGATCCTAACATGACTCATCATCAGGTAGGATCTTATAAATAATTGTAGTAATGAAAACAAGTCTAAATAATAGGGCAGGAATAAATGAAATATTGTAGGTAGGTACTACCAGTATTGTCTTACTTTTTATATCACTCTGTGACGTAAAAGTACAACTTGACCCGAATCAAACAATAACTTGCTACACCGTCAATACTGCTGACTCATATGCTATTCAATTCTTTAGGATATCAATCGCAAAACTAATTCAATCGGACGTATTACTTATTCGGAACCATGTCGAGCCACAGCCCATTTTCTATCAAGTCCACGGTGTCAAGTACAAGAATCATATTTGGACTTCTACCAGGTTTAGGTGCATTGATACTTCTCCGGATGGCTATCCATTTGTACAGACCGGACATTGAAGATGCAGAGAATCGTGTCAGAGATTATCCTTTGGAACACCTCTACGATTGCTACGACTTCATAATTATAGGCGCTGGTTCAGCCGGAGCGGTTGTAGCAAACCGATTATCAGAAAATCCCGAGTGGAATATTCTTTTACTCGAAGCTGGGCAAGATGAGAACGTTTTATCGGACGTCCCTTCGTTATTTCCTGTTTTGCAGACATCATCTATAGACTGGCAGTTCGTGACAGAGCCAAGCGAAGAATATTGTTTGGGTATGGTAGATAGAAGATGTAAATGGCCTCGTGGTAAAGTACTCGGCGGTTCTAGTGTGTTAAACGCAATGTTGTATATTAGAGGCAATAAACGTGACTACGACAATTGGGCCGAAATGGGCAACATTGGCTGGTCTTACAATGATGTACTGAAATATTTCCTCAAATCTGAAGACATGAGAATACCAGAATACCAAAATAATCCATATCATGCGGTTGGTGGACCTATATCTATAGAGAACTTTGCATATGAACAACCTATAACTAGAAAAGTGTTAGAAGCTGCCCAGCAAATGGGATATAATATAATCGATGTTAATGGAGCATCTCAAACAGGATTTACGCGATCTCACGCTACTCTCCGTGATGGACTTCGATGTAGTACAGCTAAAGGCTACTTAAGGCCTGCTTTTAAAAGACCTAACCTGCATATCAGCGTTCATTCCTTAGTAGAAAAAATACTTATTGATGAGAACAAAAGAGCATATGGTGTTAAATTTGTGAAACACGGTCAAACCAAAATAATTAAAGCTAGTAGAGAGGTGATTTTATCAGCAGGCTCTATTCAATCACCTCAATTACTGATGCTTTCAGGAATTGGTGACAGTGAACATTTAAAAGAAGTTGGAATATATCCTATAGTAAATCTTCCAGGTGTGGGGAAAAATCTTCAGGATCATGTCGCAATGGGTGGTCACTCATTTCTTTTCGACAATCCTTATGACAACGGGACCGACTACTGTTTTAATCTGAACACAGTGTGGTCCTTTGGAAACGTTATAGACTTTATACTCAATAAAAAGGGTTCCTTGTACAGTATGATGGAAGCGGAAGCGATGGCTTTTGTGAACACAAAGTATCAAGATCCCGCTGAAGATCATCCTGATATTCAATTCTTTATTGCGCCTACAGCTGATAACATGGACGGCGGTCTTTTCGGAAAACGAGCGAATGGACTGACAGACGAAACTTACGCCGAACTATACGAAGATATTCTTTATGAACCTTCTTTTTCAATAGTTCCTTTGGTTATAAGACCTAAAAGCCGTGGTTATATAAAACTTAAAGACGCAAATCCATACTCGCCACCGCTTATTTATGCTAACTATTTTCAGGATCTGATGGATATTAAAACATTGGTAAGCTGAATTATATGAATCTTAAAATTGTTATTAAGTTAAAATAGTAAAATCATTTCTAAACCTTAATATTATATTAATATACATTATACAGTTCAAAACTAATAAAAAAGTGTTGATAATTCAGTATAGTCAACTAGTTTCAAAGAAATAAAGCGATGGACTTAGGAACCAAAAACCAAAGAGGTAATTTCTTAGAATTTAAATTGTAATTCATCACAGACCATTACCTAATATACTGGTTTTCTTACCCTTCAAACCAAAACACACCATTGACTGTTACATGGCATGAATCCAGTTGTAACTGAAAATGTATTTTGAATTTATATTAAATATAGCAAATTTTTAATTTACGTAATTCATGCATAATCCGTCGCCACTTATAGTAAAATATAAAGGTATTCCTACTAAATCTACAGTCAACGGTGCCCCCCAAACTTGCTCAGGCGTCGGTATAACTCAATACTGATTCGCGTAAAAACCATAGTGAAAAACGAACGTTGAGACATAATCGTCACCATTATCATCATCTCCAGTCCCCCATTTTATACAGGCCTATGTCCGATAAAGCTGTAAAAGGCGACTTTTAAATATGGTAGAAGCATTGTAGCACGAACTGTTTCACCGGGGAAGGACAAAGTTCTCATAGAATACCAGCGTAAAATTGTAGCTTTTTGCTGCTTGTTTCGTGTGGTGAGTTTAGAGATCCAGAGACCCTTTTTACTGGAAACGAGGCATTTTATCTTAGTCCTCAGAAGTGAAAGTAACGGCATTTCAATTCTCAATCTCAGATAGATTTAGATGTCCAAGGACCACAGCATCCAATTACCATCAGATGGATTATGTGCACGTTTGTTTTTTTATTAGCATATGTGGCAGCAATTAAGATTTTGAGCACTAAATTAAAATCTTAATTAAGATTTCTTGGAAACGGCTAAACCGATTCTAACGATGATTTTTTTTATTGAATAGGTTATACTTCAGGGGTGATCTCAAAAAAGTTATATATATATATATATATATATATATATATATATTGTTATATAGGGATAGAAGAATCGTGGTAGCACAGATGGTTAACGCTCGCTGTAAATATCACAGTACGCGAGTAACCCGGGTTCGCTCCCCGCCGGCACCAATGAAATTGTTAACTGTAATTTTAAGTGTTGATATACCACATGCTCGTCGGTGAAGGAAAATATCGTAATAAAACCTCCATGTCTGAGGAATAAGAAAAAAATATTTCGAAGACATGTGAAGTTCGCCAACACGCATTGGGGCAGCACGGCGGACACTTCCTTGCCCTAAACCATCTTAGAAATGAGGGGAGGCCTGTGCCCAGCAGTGGGACGATATATAGGCTGTAACTTTACTTTACTTTACGTTATATAGGGAATAGCCTAATGGTGGAAAAATAGGGAATGAATATTTTAATGTACCATTTTAACGAAATTTTTGCTGTAACTTAAACACTTTAAACATGCAATATTCCTTAGACCTCTCAAAAGGCCACAATATTTGTTTTAATATAAAGTGAAACTGAATCCCAAAAATGTAAGAAATAATTCAGACATAATAGCTTCAAAAGTTTCTGAAATGAATTATTTTAACTTTTTATTTAAATGTTTTACTAACTTTTAGATAATAAATATTTTTGGTGCCTATAAATAGTAAGGTTTGTTATCTGCAAATACGGACAATTATATATTTTTTTTAATTTCCAAATGTAAATATATAAACAAAAGATAATTTCAGATAGAAGGAGCTCGAATAGTCGACGCACTGGTTAAACAGCCCGCACTACAAGAGATCAATGCACGGCCTAACCCGCACCGGAATCCTGGATGTAACCAACACTCCCTAATGTCTGATGAGCATTTAGAATGTCAGGCTCGACACCATTCGCTTACGATCTATCATCCAGTGGGTACTTGCTCTATGGGTCCCGCGGACAACGGTGATGCTGTCGTTGATCCAAGACTACGTGTAAGTATGACATTGTCAGAAATGCAATAAAATTTCTGAAGTCAAACAAGATTAATTAACATTTTGACAATTTTTCTTTTATAATATGAAGAATAAGGGTGATACACGTGCAAAGAGTTCACCTGATGGTGTGTATGCTGTGGCCTATAGACATTTACATACACCCTCGATTAAGAACCAAAATGCATATGCTTTGTTATCTCTGAGGACTAAACAAGAATGTCTCATTTCCTGCAAAAAGGGTCTCATGTTCCATTTTAGATTTAAATAATTTATTTCTCATAACAATTCATAACAGAGTATATAATACAATGTAATTTACATAGATACACAGTAAATTACATAAACAAAAAAATCCGACATTGCCTATGGTGCTTAATTAAAATTTATGACCAATAGATATATAATTTACATTATACGCTGGTATTTTGTGAGAGCGTGGTCATTCCCCAGCCGAGCCATTATTGCTACAACAATAATATGGTGGCTCCACGTTATAAATTTCATCTTCATTTGTAATCTGGATTTACATATGTACTTGTTGTACACGTATTAAATTTATTCACAAAAATCGACTGGTTTCGACTTACAGAACTTCACGGTAAATAAATAAACTTAAATATTTTAGAAAAAACTGATAACTAATTATTTTTTGATTCTTTCCTTCATCATCAACGCGCCAACAGTCCATTGTTGGTTTTGGGTGTGGCACGCGCATTGGTGATTGTAGCACCAGACGTTTCGTTCCTACGACGTTCCAGTTTATTATGCAGTTGTGCATTAATATTTAACAATTTATCGCCAGCATATTCTCACGTTTTTTTACACATACCATGTATAGGTAGCGTAAGAATATCCACAACCCCACGTCGTCCCGTGGGTGTCGTGAGATAAGACAGAGGGAAATTGAAATAGTCGGTGGGCAGCAGCATCTTCCTGATAACAACTCAAAACAATAAAAAGCTGCGGTTGACAACCCGCTCGCCAAGTGTGTCAACTATGACAAAATCGCTCCTATGAGGCAATCTATGGGGGAGGCCTATGTTCAGCAGTGGACTGTTATAGGTTGTGATGATGATGATATTTTTTTATAGGATAGGCCGACAAACGAGCACACAGTTCACCTGATGGTATGTGATTGCTGCGGCCTATAGACATCTACATCTATCCTCGACTGCAAATCAAAATGCAAATGCGTTGTCACCTGTAAGAAATAAGATGGAGTACCTCGTTTCCAGTAAAAAGGGTCTCCGGTTCTCTACACTCACCATACGAAGCATTAATCTACTATTTTACGCTGGTATTCTGTGAGAGCGTGGTCCTTCCCCGGTCGAGCCGACCCATTCGTGCTATAACTATACTACTAATATAACTATAATTAACCATAGCATGGCTCTACAACGTATAAAAATTCGAAAGATATTCTCACACTGCGTAACGGTACAACCGTTATAATTCGTCCTAGAAATTATCGTAGTACCATCCAATTTGGTACTTTTTTATATAGAGTAAGAGCCACTGCGGTGTACTGTGGCCCGGCCCAGACATCTACTTATAGCATCGATTAAGAATCAAAATGTAAATAAATTACCATTCCTGAGGACGAAGATGGAATGCCTCGTTTCTAGTGAAAAGTGTCTCAGGTTCTCCACACTCACCATACGTCTTATCAATTACTATAGTAAACATTGTATTATATATATAGCAAACATAGTTTCCTTACTTTTGTTGTAAGATAAGCATAAGTACCTATCTTTACTATACAAACAATTTTTACAGAGATAAGGGTGGCAAGGAAGTTTATAGTTTTCTTAATAGTGTTTACTAAGTGTGAGAATTAATATCTTTAAATGTAAAGAAAGTTAAATGGATGTCATAGCCCATAGACATCTACGTTTATATTTGTTTAAGAACCCAAATTAAGTTATAACTAAGATATCTTACTACTAGTAAAAAGGTTCTTTAATTGTCGCTAGTTACTCTAGCCGACCAATTCTTGCTGCAGCCATACCAAATAAGTATGTAGATCTTTACATGTAACAAAACATCATTTACGCATGTTATTAATTTTACTAGGCGTTGGCGTTCATTTTAACACGCTTTTATTAAATTTGCACGTATCTATTTATCTATGTAATATTTTAATGTAATTTTCACCAACGTGTAGGCTTGAAAATTTGCACTTGAATCAAGAACCGATGGCAATGAAATAATTTAATTACTTTATCCTAGTATCCCGATTAGGATCAACGGGATAAAATATAATAATTATCAGGATCATCACAGCTTATGATCAATTCGAGTAGTTTAGGTTTTATTAAACTATTATATTATTTGTCGTTTCGCCAAACAATCGTGGATGCAATGCTGTGTTCCGCTTTAAAATGTAAGCAAACCAGAATAATCAGGTACTAAAAGAACTGAACCGTAACGCTCGCTACATACATATACGAAATTCCGATTCGGGATTCCGAACGCAGCAAGTCCTTATATAAACAAGGACCCACACTTACGGTAGTTTTCCGTTTGAAATTTTGCAGACAAAACGGGATTCCGTGTATGTGTGGCCGACCCGTTTGTATTGTGTGGCAGGCCTTAGAGTTGCCAATTTTATCATTAACAAACATAATATTTAGGAAGCTATTAACTTAAAAAATAAAATTACATAATTCACTATCAAAGTTATCAAAAAATAATATTTGTTGCTTCTGTGAGAGTATTAAAAGCCTTACGTAACGATATATTGATCATGTTACACCGATAATAAACCATGAACAGGCGTAAATTAATATCATGCCGCAATTAAATACAAGTTACACTTCCTAACCCATAGGTGCGAGACATTTGGTAGATCATCAGTTCGCTGGCCCAGCGTGATGTTTGCGGCAACTGCTTCCTACACTGAAGAGACAAATGCAGACAAATGTCTACTTTTTACGGTCCGATGAAAATAACTACGCAAAATAGTAGCATAATTCTACACTGTGTTACATGCAGTGTGTGATGAAAGCCTTATTACAAGGTAACTTTTTTGTAATAAGAAGGGAATTTAAGAAAGGAACGCCTCGGTGGATTCACGCGTAGGAACAATGAATGAGGAAAGAGTAATCACTCATACGTGGTAGAGCCACGCTGCAGCTATATTATGGTTGTAGTACGAATGGGTCGGCTCGACCGGGTAAGAACCACGCTCTCACAAAATACCAGCGTAAAATAGCAGCTTAAGGGGATATAGTAAGTCAGCTCAAACTCTAATTTCGCCCCCACTTCCCCGCGCGTCGTATGCTATGCACCGACATGCTTGTAATCACTAATAATGTAAGTAGATAGGTCGTAAAATACTTATTTCATTATGTTTATCATATTTATGCCTGTTTCTTAACGCCAACCCAGTCGCTTCTTATTTTAATCTTGTTGAATTATCACGGTTATTTCCCATTTTAATTTTACGTCGTCCTGTTGCGTAATGTGTATTCTGATCGTAAGCGACACAACTTCTCCCTTCAAAAGCCGAAGCGATACTAACCGGGCGACAGGAATCAAGGTTCAAGACGCCGACAGTTTAGGTAATTTCTTTTAAGTGAAAATAATAGTATTTTGTAAATAACATAAGCACTGGTTTATAGTTAGTTCAGTTAGTATGCAAAGTTTCATGATCTTATTTAAAGTATTTTATGAATTGGGGGCGAAATTAGAATTTGAGCTGACTTACTATATCCCCTTAATTTGCCCTTTGCCCTTGAGCCTGTGACTTTGCGAAGTGCCATGGTCAAAGATCCGTACTAAATTTATTGTTTTATTGCCGTTCGTAAAGTAGAGTGGATATGGTAAAAATTTTGATAGATTTTAATTATTTATTTAATTCAAAATTTTTGTTTTTATTATTTGTAAAATATCAGTACCCTAGGCTTCTACTCCGTTCACATGATTTTTTCCAGACAGTAAGAAAGGTTATTGAGTCACATCAAAATAAATTAAAAATACATTATGTAATACTATATTCATGTTAATAAAAATTGTTTTATCAACGTTAACAGGTTTACGGAGTTAAAGGTCTAAGAATAGTCGATGGAAGCATTATGCCTACAATCGTCAGCGGAAACACAAACGCGCCTATCATCATGATCGGCGAAAAAGCTTCTGACATGATTAAAGAAGACTGGGCAGAAAATGTTGCCGAAGAAGTCATCCACTGCAGTCAAGGTTACAGCAGACAAAATGAAGGTGCGAATAACACAGAAGATAATGGACCGAAGAAAATACAGCTATCGCAAAATGAAGCACCAAATCTACTAAACGAAATGGCAGACCTATTTCCGCGTCTATCTCATGGCTTGATACATCCCAAGCCAAACAACGGCGGAGGGGACGGTGCATCTTCTTTTTCAACAAATTTACAGAACGATAAAAAAGGGAATTCTCTTCCTAATTCATACAACTCAATCCACCAATTCGGAACTCCTGATGTAGCTAAAACGTATAGAGATGATTTAAGTTTATACAATTGGCGTCCGTATCCATACGGAGCTCCTGAGTACGTTTTTAAACAAAATCCATGGCGTATAAACACAATGCGAGAACCACTTCCAGAATTTTATCTCACTCGCAATGAATATCCTTATGTTAAATCGTATAGTGAAATACCAATGCGATATAAGCCAGTAAAAGGACCGTTCTACGACAACTGGCGGTACCATATTCCGACAAATAGAGCAAATAAAAATAGAAATAAAATTTATTTTCGAACGGATGAAGTAATGACGCCTAAAGGAAGTAAAGATTGTAAAATTTGGTTATATTACGATGGAATGAAATATAAAATTACGGTGTAAAATATAAAGTAAATATATATAGCCAGTGATTAAAAGTGGTATTTAATAATAGGTTTATAAATTTTAATTCCATTCAACAATAAAATATTTCACAACACGCTTACTGCGTGAGGTTATGCAAAAATTATTTGTATTAAAATATTTAACACAAATAATTGTTTAAAATGATTTCCCTTTAAAAATGTAATTATTTAAAAGTAAATTAACAATTGAAATTAAGTAATTATTATGGAATTAAAAAAAAATAGTGACGATCCACAAAGAGCGTTCAATTCAGTACAAATGACGAATAGAGATACGGGTGCCAAATTCCATAGGAGTTGCAAGTACGTTCTAAATTATATATTGATCCTATGCTTTAAGCAACTACTTTACTAAATGTACTAAATTTTCCAATAAACAAGTTAAAATGCTTTATTAAACAAAAATTATAATATTAAAGAATACATAATGACAATATTCCCTGAGAATGAGGTAATCGCCACCATGGTGATTCTATTAAAATTTATTTAAAAATTATAAAAACAAAATTAATGTAAAGTGAAATAAGCTTAAAAAAGTCCCGCTGGATTTCTTGCTGGTTCTTCCCAGAACCGAGGTATTTTTCGAACCAGTGGTAAATAAAAAAAATGATTTTAAATAAGTGTTATGTAATAATCTATATTGAATAAAATCATCCATTTCATTTCATTTCTAATTCCGTATAGTTCCATACAGTTAGCACAATATAGCTTCCCTTTCAATACGCTTTAAAAGATAAGAGAAGATATTTCATTGCATTATGCTAAAACTATACATTTAATAAACTTTACTACCAGTACTTACAGTCGTACCTTAACCTTAGTTTCCCGTTCCGCTGGGCTCGTCATCAGTCTAATACCTAACAGGCCCATGATAAATAATAACGTGGATTTTCAGCTAAGCCGATTAGCACTGTGTGATGCTTCCCGTTGCCAGTTCAGGGACTTTATATCTACCTTTAACATACCAACCACCACCGCTACTTTTATCGCCATTTATGGGAGGTCAGACCTCCCTATAGATATATTAGAACTTTTTAGTGTTGCCCAAATGCAAGAACAAGACGAGAGTTAGCCAGTCTTGGTCTTGGTCTTGCGCCAATACACCTGGTCTTGGTATTGCGCTCTAGGTCTTGTTCTTGGTCTTGGTCTTGCAGCAAGAGTCTCGCAAGTCTCGCAATTACCTATTAGTCTATTGTTATTTATTAAACGTTACTATAGATCTTAGAAAAACTTAACAGAGTAGGCACATTTTGAGCTTGAATTAACATAGCCATAGAAAGACCAACCAAATTAATAAATTTCTAAACATTTAATGAGAAATTCGAAAAATCAACTAATACCGGGTGGGGTTTGAACCCACGACCTAAGCGATCCGTGCCGATGCTCTAACCAACTGAGCCGTCTACCAAGTCTTACGGCCACGGAAGTTAGTCTGTTTCTTAATAAGCGTTTACATTTAATAAGCTTACATGTGCTAAAACTTAGTCAAAACATATAAAAAACAAATTAATGACATTAACTTCACTGTATTATAAAGAACATTATCTGTATAGAAAGAGATTGATAGACCCTTATATGAAATGGAATAAAAGAGTTATACAATTTACCATTTATTTAAATAAAAAAATAAAATACAATACAAATTAAATTACATAACAGTACACAACAGCTTTGACATTATTGTTACTTTATATTAATTCTTTTGACCAAGAATTAATACAAAGTAACCATCTGGCTGACTCATCACTTAACCTATTTCTATGTTTTCTAATTACTAATGATGCTTTAGAAAATAATCTCTCAGCAGGTACTGAAATTGCAGGTATTGAAAGAAAATCACGGGCCATCTTCGATAAAGTCGGATCTTCTGTCTCATGCGTCCTCCACCACTCTAAAATATCTTCCGAACTGGCGGCTCTGGGTTTACTTAGGTACTCCTCCAACTCGTCGATAACTAAGCCTTGACGAAAAGATCCAGATCCAGATGACGTCGAGGGACATGCATATAATTTCTCAAAGTCTATTACGTCATTTTCATCATATTCACATACTTTATTTTCATTTCTTGGTGATTCTTGAGATGTATTCACTGAGTGTAGACTTTTATATTCTTTATAAAGTTCATTAAATTTGCGCAGGCTTTCTGTTTTAATTTGCATCCCCCATAATGTCATGTCAAAAGTCTGAGTCTTATGCCTTGGGTCTAAAATTAAAGAGGTACAATAAATCCAGTTGCTCTTTTTATAATGTTTAAGCATTTTGTCTCGAGCTGCTTGAAAAACCAGAATGAGCCTTTCATCCACTTCGGATCGATTAGGTTTCTCATCTAATTGTTTTACCATGGATTAAATTTTATCGAGCAATAGATTGAATAATACAATGACTAGCGGTAATGTAACATATTTTTCTCCACCAAGTTTGTTGATGGAAGTTTAAAGTTTATTAGAAACTTATGTACTTTTTTGATTATTTACCATTCACTATCTGTGATTTGAAAATCATTCAATTCGGTGACAGAAGTGCACAATATGTTAATGCCAGTTCTCACTTTTAAACCAAATCCAATCATATCATGTGTGGAATTCCATCTCGTTGGACGGTCGAGTATGGGGTTCAGATTTGATGGCACGCCAGCTGCTTCACAAGCAGAATAAAACTTCCTCTTCAATATCTCACTTCTTTTTATTTTACTGGAAATACTGCGTAATTTTGTTATAGCTGTACGTGAGTATGCAATATTTGGCGCATATTCTTCATCTTCCTCAGTTTCGTCTTCATTATCTTCATACTGCTGTTCTTTTTTCTTATAGAATAGGGTGACAAACGAGCACACAGTCCACCTGATGGTAAGTGGTTGCTGCGGCCCATTGACATCTACATCTATCCTCCATTAAAAATCAAAATGCAGATGCGTTGTCACCCGTGAGGACTGAGATGGAATGCCTCGTTTCCAGTAAAAAGGGTCTCCGGTTCTCTACACTCACCATACGAAATACAGCAGCATTAAGCTACTATTTCACGCTGGTATTCTGTGAGAGCGTGGTCCTTCCCCGGTCGAGCCGACCCATTCGTACTACAACTATACTACTAATATAACTGCAGCATGGCTCTACCACGTATAAACTTCCTTCTTGTTCCTTATTGTCAGTTTCACTGTGTAATGCTAAGGTCTTTTATAAATCTTGTACACCAAGGTTCAAAATGTGAGCAAAGCACCGGAAATGTTGATTGTCTGAATCAAAGTGTTACAGCTGTTTGTCCAATTCATACATAAATTTGGTATTTGCAGTTGCGTTGTTGACCGTGATACCCTGTATTTTATCAATTATGTCATATTCCAATAAACATTCGTGGAAAATCGTTGCAATGTCTTCCCCAGTATGTCGACCGCGTGATGGTATAAAACCAAGGACTACAGATCGATACTTCTATTCGTTGTCTATATAATGAATAGTGACCCCGTAGTAATTCCTACCAGCAATTGACGTCCATCCATCAATAGTAAATGACATTTTGGATGAAAATTGTTGCAGTCGTTTCTTAAGATTCAATTGAAGCTCTTCAAACCGTTCTTTGACCTTCCTTCTAAGTGTGGATCTTTTAGCAAACCATATTTGGGCAAATTGATCGAAAATATACTTGTGTAGCTTCGTCATCGAAAAATGAGAAGGGAAGATATTTTTTAACCATCCAATCAACTGCAGCTGTCGTGATGTTGTCACTGCTATTTTCAGACTGAAATAAAACAGTAAATCATGTGTCTCGCCGATTATAAAAACAAATGAAAATATGGGTGAATTATAAATACATATTCATTTGTTTTTATAATCGGCGAGACACATGATTTACTGTTTTATTTCAGCCTGAAAATAGCAGTGACAACATCACGACAGCTACAGTTGATTGGATGGTTAAAAAATTTCTTCCCTTCTCATTTTTCGATGACGAATTTCCTTTTATGGCATAGTGATCAGTTAAGAAACGGTTTTGAGAAAATCTATCCCTAAGGGAGTGAAATGGGGGTTGGAAGTTTAAATGAAAGTCCTACGTTTTTGAAGTTAGACACGAAAATCGGTATTAAAGTTATAAGTTTTCAATAATAAAATCCTGAATAAGCTGTTTTACGAAATCCTAAACCTAAGGGGGTGAAATTGGGGTAAAATGGTTACATGCTAATGCATGTTTTTAAAGTATAGATATGAAGATCGACATTTACTTTATTAGTTTTAAATAATAAATACTTGCATAGTTAAGCTTTACCTATATAGCCTCTTTATACTTAGGTAAGACTTTTGCAGCGAGAAAATTTCAAAATCTCATAGGAAATCAGATATTGTACGCGGACGAAGTCGCAGGCGGCCGCTAGTTACATAATATATATGTTATGTAATTGTGTGATAAGTATATTTTTTCTTACCTGTCCACTTTTTCCGGTGGTTATTAAAAAGCTTGTGATATCTCCACTTCATTTTGGTTTTTCAGGAAGAAATATTTGTGATTCCTTTTTGTGGAAAGATATTAGATGCTTTCTTAAGCCTGAAGTGTTTCTGTTTTTCATTTTTATTTCAACCTTTTTATGTTGGCATAATTTACACAAAGCAATTTGGGATGCATGAATTATGTCGAAAAACTCATCAAATTTACTTTTAGGTCTTTTAGATCTATAACTCCAACTCTCACTACTCCGACTAGAACTATTCGACTCTTCGTCACTCATGTCAAATAGTAATCTTATCACTCCGAGAACAACAAGGATTAGAGTAAAAACAATTAATACATTAGACTCGAAGCAAAGCTCAATTGGGAATGACTGGAATTAAAATAAATACTACTATTTGTAAGTACACGCCGAAATACCCACAAAGGAAAGTTCGGCATCTTTGATAAAATTAATGATTCTGAAGATTAATAAAGTAGATGCGTTGCCAGATAGGTATAGTGTGCCTACGTAAAATGAAATGTAAATATGTAAATAAA